GGGGGTGGAGCGGCTGCCCCCCCAGGTGGGTCCCTTTCCCAAGCCACATTGGGTGGCGGGTGTTGGGAGGGCTGGAGGCAGCCTTGGCTGGAGGGGGGCAGGGGGGTCATGGCTGTTCTTGCCAGCAACCCTGCCAGCTCCTCACGGCTGCCCGGGGCCTTTGAGTACCTGTGCCCAGTGCCCAGTGCCTCATCCTGGCTTTTCTGTTCTCTGGCCTGGGCTTGCTGGGTTTTCTGCCGTGGCCAGGCCTGGCCTCCCCGAGAATAGCCTCTGGAAGCTGCCCTTTGGGTGGGGCTGGGCTCCTGGTGAGGCCTCCACTCAGCTTTCTCAGGGCGGGGGGCAGGGACTGAGGAGGGGCTCTGGGCCAGCTGTGGTTGGGGAGAACCCAGGTTCCTCTCCGTGCATTCTCACGGCCACTTCTGTTCCCTCCTCGCCCGGCTGCTTTTCCAGGGCCCTTGGCCTTGCTTCCCCGCCCCGTGGACGGTGGGTGCGTGGCTGCGGGAGGCTGAGAAAGCCTGTTCCCTTTCCTCCCCCGCCCTGGCCGCCCTGCTCAGGATGAGGGAGCGATGGCCCCCAAGCCCAGGCTTTGGTCTGAGGATGGGCAGGCCCACCCACGGTGAGGGGGTCCTGGTAGCAGCATGTCGGTTCCGGGGTTTCCTGGGGCTGCTCCTGGGACTGACTCTTGCAGACCCGCCCCTGCCCAAGCCTGGGCTGCCCTTCCGCATTCGCCACTCCGCATGTCTGGGCCCACATGCCCGTTGGGAACGGGGAGCACACGAGAAGCACAATCCAGGGTTTGGCCCTGGGATCCGGGTCCGTGGCCTGGCGGAGGCTGCTGGGACAGGGGTCACTGGAGCCACAGAAACAATTCCCCGAGGAGAGGCGCCGTCTGTGTCCGCCTCCCGCCCAGGTCCAGACCACGCCTTCCTGTGCCCCCACAGGCCCCCCCAGCCCCTTGGCGCCTTCATTGCTGTTCGGATTAAAGCCTCTGTTTTGCACCTGTCACCTGTGTCTTTTTAAAAAAAATAATGTTTTTATTGATTTGAGAGAGA